GCTACCGTGTGTGCAGCCAAGAAGACAGTCAACCTTCCTTATTGCCCATAGATACCAGTAATAATTTAATACTATACACAGACTGCTTTTTAATATAGCAAAGAGTTTTCAGTAAGAAGGGTTATTTCTGAGATTTTACACTATTGGCTCACAGGTCACATCCCTCCGTAACCCCAGACTATATTGAAAAGTGTTGACAGACCAGTGACATGCCACCATCACCTCAACAGAGCGAATTTATCACAAAGCTTTCTGAGGGAAGCAGACAGTGAACAGTGTGGATTTCAAACAACCCTGAAGTGAAATCTGTTTCTTACTAAGAAAGTACAAGTCAGAAGTTGAGACAACTGTAAAGTATATCCCAAAAACAAGTGCAGTCAAACCATTGGAACCAAAAGTCATTTTCCTATGCTAAACAAGACTGCAAACGCTTCACTCTAAATTCAATTTTATTGCTTACAAAACATCACAACTATGAAATGACCAAATCAGATACAAAAAAAATTATATATATATATATATATATATATATATATATCTTAAAAAGTAAACAGAATGATTCTGTGGTATAAAATGAAACATGATTAAATGGAACATAAACAAAGGATAAGTTAGGAATCTCAAAAAATGATGAAAATAGATAATATTAAGTGAAAGAATATTATAAGGGAATAGCATGAAAATAAGGCCTTATGAAATATGATAAATCCAAGTGTGAAAAAAATGAGGCAGTTCTGTAGTTAAAAAAAATAAAAGTCAAATTATAAGAATACAGGGAAGAAAAAATACAGTTAGAAGTAGTTTGAGAAATTCAAAAGCCCTGTGATTCATATCCCATTAAAATGTAAATAAAGTCCTTGAAGCACAATGACTAATGATTGTTCCCTCCAAACTGAGAGTTCCCGTTGCAATTTTATTGGGCTTATTATCCCTGACAATTATCCCTCTTTATTGACATTTCCCTTTCTATAACCTAAATTGCCTGCAGTCAAACATGGTATAACTTAAACGATAATGGTTCCGATAGGCCCAAACTTAGTCCCAGTTGGTGGAACTGCTTTGGAAGGATTTGGAATTGTTGCCTTCCTGGAGAAGGTGTGTAACTGTAGACAGGCTTTAAGGTTTCAAAAGCCCACACCAGGCCCAGTCTCTCTACCTTCTGGCTACTTGTGGACCAGATATAAACTTTCAGGTACTGCTCCAGTGCCATGCCTGCCTGCCTGCTCCTCAACATGATGGTTGTAGACTCTACTCTTTTGAAATAGTGAGCCCCAATAAACTCTTTCTTCCATAGTTGCCTTGGTCATGATGTCTCACCATAGCAACAGAAAGGTAGCTAAGATACATTGTCAGAAAATATTAAGCGGAAAAATCCCAGGAACAAACAATTCATGAGTTCGAACAGCATGTCAGACTGAATGGCATGAGGTGATGCCACTACTTGGCCTCTGGGATGGAAGTTATCCTTCTTCCCAGTATGTACATTGTGCATACACTGCCTGACTGTTACTGACCTGGGAGCTGTCTCAGTGATCGGATTGCAATGCTTATGCTTGCTTCTCCTTAAGAATGACCTGCAAAGCTTTAGTGTAGAGACACTGACTGGCAATTGGGGTGTGCCAAAGAGAAAGCTCCGGGAGTTTAAGTGCACAGGTGGAAGTTGTTGGCTCTCTAAGGAAAGGAGAAAAAAAATGCCAAGATGTCTGGGATCTCTGGACAAAATGCACTTATGCACAACTTCAACATCATTCTCAATTTCTATCATCTTCCTACCTCCCCCAGGTCTTGAGGCATGGTTCTTGAGAATAACTGGGGCTCAACATTACCACATCAATAAACATTTGAAGATGGCTCTCAGCATGACTTAGAGTAAGGTTTTTCACACTATACTCATAACTACTGATCAGTAAATACCCAAAGATTCACATTGTTAACAGTACATAACACTAAGCCACTCAGCTTCTTGGTAGACTGAAGCTTCCAGAGCAAGCTGCCTAAAACTCCCCTCTCCTTGAGGTCTGGTTCCCAGCATGAGACACAGAGCCTGCGAGTAATTAGCCACTGAACAAGAGAGAAATCTCCGGTCTTACGGAAAGTGCATGCTAACAGTGTCATTGGGCTGTCCCTTTCATCTCAAAACACTCTGCCAATTTAATCATTTCTCGACGCACATCCCAGGATATGCCTTATCTTGGGCTATAGACTGCATGGTGCTTCAAGCTTTCAAGACCCACAAGAGAGTGATGGGGACAGAATGGAAATGGGTCAAAGTCAAACACTGCAGTAACCATAAGCCAGGCATCGTAGCAACACAGTTGTCAGTGTTTTTCACAGCAGGGTCCATGAACTTCTCTTCTCACTCTCTGGGAGTTCTAGGTCAATCAGATCTCTGGACCAGCTCTCAAGCCTAATAAGGCAGAAGACTGAGGTGTGACCCCAGAGTCTGCAAAACTCCTTACCCTCACCCCCCCCAATTTGTTGGTATGCTCACTAACAGTGGAGATGCAGTAACATAGAAGCAAAGGAAATGGGGGAAAGTTGAGCTTAACCAGCCAAAAAGGTCTAGTCCAAGCAGGTGCCAAGAATGTAAAGTAAAGACAAAGGGCAAATCCAGCAGTCGTGGTGGGTGCATGAGGCTGTAGGCATGAACATATTTCCTGAACTCAGAGCTTCCTGGAAGAGCTAGTCCCCTCTCTTCTACAGGCATTTCTCTGTGGCTGTTAAAGGCATGGTAGTCTAACAGGCCATGGATTCTTGCTAATTAAACTGTAAATCTTCTTTCAATTGTTAAAAAAAAATCAAGGACATTAAATTGCAGGCATCTTAAAGACTAGATTAACACTGTTAATCTTGAAAACACACAGTAACGCAACAGATTCTGCATCAGAGGGAAGTAGAGATGGGAGTCACCAGCCTCACAGAGTACAGTTGTGCGTTACCACAACAGTGTGTGCTGAGTGGGCTTAAAGCTTCAACAACAACGAGAACCTTCTTCTCTCACAGAGAGCCCACTTAAAAGATCACAGGGCCACCCATGCCTCGGAACCATTCCCCCATGTCTGTGCCTGCTTATGGAGAACTCTGGTTGGTCTCTGGAGGGAAGTTAAGGGCGACCAGGCCAAGAGAAGGCAGCCAGGAGTCTACAAGGTTCTGTCCGAGGTCCTGATTGTGCCTAGCCAGGGAGGGGCTGCCTAGCCAGGGAGGGGCGACCTCGCAATGTCAGTGGATGGGAATGGCTCAGTGCTGGGAGGGTAGATAAGGTTTCCCCTCTGCTAGATAAAGGAATCTGCTGTATCCCTTTCACTGGACTCCCGGCTCTGTGTCTGTTGATGGTGTGCCTTCTCACCCCCTCCCCCGAGGAAAATGCAATGGCCCAGCTATAAGTCTCCATCTCATCAGGGAAGTGGAGAGGCCATTGTTTTTCTCACCCTGTCTATAACAAGATAGGTAAGAACTCTAATTGTGGGGAAGGAGCCAGGAAGTTCATACTGCCAGGTGCATGACCTAAGCAGCATTCTCACAGCCATTATTGTTGTTGTTGTTGTTGATGATGATGATGATGATGATGATGATGATGATGATGATGATGTTGTGAGAAGATACTTGGGATTTGGCCAGTCTTATTCTTCATCACTGCTTAACTTACATGGTCCAGAGCTATGGAGAGGAAATTGGAGCATCACAGTCTCTGCTGAAATGACACCATTTCGTTTCCATGTCCAGTTTAAGAAAAAGACAGCAAGAATCTCTCTGGTCATAGAGATCAGGAGCTCTTCATAACCCCTGATTAAGACAGAGAGAGAGAGAAGAACTTCCCATCAGGGCTGTCTCGGTCCATTTCAGAGTGGCTGCTGCTAGGAAACCACAAGCCAAACAAAAAGGTATACCAACCAACTTTGTGGGCCTCTGTAGGTCACTGGTCACAACACTGGTCCTCCCACTTTCGGTGCTTGGATGTCCCGACCTTCAGAGCTTTGCACAAACCCCTGCCAGGGGTCCCTCTCTGTTCATCTAAACGAAACTTTCATGATTTGAATCTGTTTCAGCATCCTGATCTTTTCGGACACAGATAAATACTCACTTCTCTTTCGTAAGTGTTTTTAAATTTTTTAAATTACGTTGTGTGGTGTTAAGTGCATAGCCGCAGGAGTGCAGTGCTCATGGAGGCCGGGAGAAAGTGCAGGATTCCCTGGAGCTGAAGTTCCAGGAGGCTGTAAGCCTCTTGACAGAGCTGCTGGGCACCAAACTCCAGTCCTCTTAGAAGAACAGCACATGTTCTAATGAACCTTGCAAGAGCTCCAGCCCCAACAGTTAAATACTTCTTTAGGCAGCCTGAGCTCATAACTGTTTTCTTCCCTCAATTCCTATGCTTGCTTTCCCCCATGTCTTTTACTTTCTCTCCCGCCCTCCCCCATTGGACTAGAAACTCTGGACAATGTACGGAACGACTTCATCATCTTCGTAACCCCCATCCCTTAGCTCAGTGCCAGACATACAGTGATGCATAAAATGTGGGGAGACTGGCAGATGGAGGAACAAAACAGACAGAATGGTACAGAGACATGGATACAGACAGCCAGATATGAGGCAGAAAGAGAAACACTAGACAAAAACATACAAAGGCAGACCAGGGAAGAAAAGAGGCCTGGAGGACCAAGGAAAACAAGAAAATGAAAGTGTTGGGGATCTCCAGCTCCGGGGCCCACACCGGGGGAATTTTCTACTTATCAAAAAGGACAGACCAGTTAAGGTGTTACTGAATCCCAATCTTTAGTATTTCTAGACGGCAAGCAATGGCAGGACAAAGGACAGCACAATCAGGGACAAGGGCAAACGGAAACGATAGAGAAGCGCAAGTGCTGGCTCTGGAAAACTCTGGAATTATCCAGAACCTGCATTCTCAGACTACAGCAGGGAGAGAGAGGCAAGCCTCCCCTGAGCCCTTCCCTTTGTGGAAGCCTTCAGCCTCAACTGTGTCGTGAGCAAACGGCTTACCCATTATTAATAGCGTTTCCCAATCCTTCTTGTCTTGGTGTTTAAATAAAGGAGAGATGAGTTTAAACAGATTCATTTTTAATTGTGATCTCTAAATCACGCTGTTTACTTGCCTGTTGTGGGGCTTTTAGGAGATAATTTAAGCCTTAAAGCTTGCATCAGGAGGCGCTTTTTCTGTAGGCATGCCATAAATCTGCGAGATGAGCTGTGATTCATTCCTGTAGGTGTTAGTATGTGATTATGTAAGCACTGCCAATAATGAAGAAATTTACTAGAAATGTGGCAAAGAATAAATAAAAGCAGAAATAGCTGTGGAAGTGGTGCTTCTCTGGTGTTGTAATAAAAGACGGGTTGTGTGTGGAGAATTTATACCAGTAATTTATAGCATTTTTCAAACGATCATCATCTAATAATTGTGGACCAAATAGGAAAGCAATAAAACAAAAACACAGCCTTCTAAACAAAAATAACTCATCAGGGGTTCTCCTTTTCACACTGTTTCCTCACGACGAGTTGGGTTATGCCCCCACAAAGACACAACTCCGTGAGGACGGAGGCGCACGCCCCACGCAGGCATCTCAGCGGCTGCCAGCACTTCCCCCTATTATGCAGGAAAGTCGCCGTGGCGGTGGTGTAAGTGATCCTTTGTTCGGCTTTTAGCAGGGCAGCACATGCAAATGGGCTTCGGACGCCTTTGCAGGTCTTTGCTGAAATTCTCTGCGAGGCCCGGTAGAGTTCCCGGCACTCAGCAACTGCTCCAGCCATGGTGAATTTTATGTAACTGAGGAAGAATTAATCTCAAAATGAAAGGAGACCGATTTTTACTTTGAGAGTCGGAGGGATTGAGCCTCCTCCTCGCTGATGCTAACCGTGTCCTAGGCGCTGGAAACTCTTGTTTGTTCGTTAGTTACTTTTGCCATATCTGACATGAAGCAGCTTAGATGAGAAGGGTTTCTCTTGGTTCGTGGTTCGCCCGGAGAGTCTGGCCCAACTGAAGCCGAGTTCCTGGGGGAGGGAGGGCGTAGCTGTGACATCAGAGTCCCAAGAAACCAGAGGACTAGGGCTGAAAGCAAAGCGAGCTGTAACTCTCAGGACACACCTCTCTACCCTTACAGCCCTACTTCCTCTTGCTAGACCCCGCCTCCTAAAGATTTCACAGTCACCCCAAACAATGTCACTAGCTATGGGCCAAGTTTTCAAGTAGATGAGCCTGAGAGGGACATTTTACACAAAAGGCTTAACGCTGGATAGAATTAATGAGAAAAGAAAGCCCAGAGGGTCTTTTTCTCAGCTTAGCATTAAGAAGCCTAAACACGTGTGCAGGCATGTTTGTATCTTACAGATAGAAATTTTAATACTTGGACTTGATATTCAAATCTGTGGCCCCACCCAAATGAAACTAGGAAACCCCTGCTATAGAACAACCTTAGCCCAAGTGATACTTTTCCCTAAAATATCACAGAAGAAATGTTTCTTATATGACTAAAGTATGTAGGAAGAGTTTTGCACCTGAGGCAAGTATCGTCTTTCATAAAAACCCAAGAACTAATTATAAAAATTAAAAAACAGAACTGAGGGGGGGGGGTAGAGACTTTATACCCAGAGGTACAAGGCAACAATGTGCCCAACGAGACAGACAAGTTCTGATGATTAAAATACAGCACACGCTTGCCATACCACCTGTGCTGAAAATATATTAGAAATAAATGTCATTGCAATTAATAACCTCCTCCCTCTTGCCTGTATTCATCGGGAGGAAAATAGCAGAAATTCAGCAGTAACTACAGAACTCAGAGGGCAGAGCGAGGCTAGTTCTGCAATCAATTCCACGCTGTTAATGAAACTACCAGCGGCCAAAAGATAACATAAAGGAATTTTTGTGACAGCACCTCCGGAAGTCTGACTTCAGCCATCTGGTGTCAGGGGCTGGTAAGAAAGCATGGCCCCAGAGCCACCCAGCCAGCTCCACTCACAGCTCCCCACCACTTCCTCTGCTTGCTAAATCATTTAACAAGTCCTAATACAGAAAAGGAAAGATTGCTGATGTTATAGGAACTAGCTCCTTCAAATGCCTTATTTATTCCTAAGGCAAATTAAGCCGGGTACCAAAATAGAAGGCAGAAGCAGAAAAGCACTGCCATAGATGTTCTTTCTGGCATCGGCAAACAAAGAGAGGTCTGTGTGAGGGAGGGAGTCAGGTAGGTCAAAGAGCTGACGTCATTGCTTATCATCGTGGGGTTTTCTGCTTTGTTTTGCGCTGTGTTGTTCTATGGCGATCCCATACCTGTACATAACACATCAGAGGCATTTTTACCCTCCTTTCACTTCTCTTATCAGCCTCCCATTTCTTTCTCCCAGGACCCACTCCTATTCTTATGTCTTTTGTTGTTTGCTTGTTTTAGTTTTCTGTCTTTTGTGACTCACAGAGTTTAATTAGGGCTGCACGCTCGAGTGTGGTTGTGGAGCTATTAGCTGGAGTGTGCACAAATGCACTGGCTACACCACTGAAGAAAGAGACTCCCCGTCTCCAGGCTATTGGCTCCCATAGCTCCTGGGGGCAGCTAGGTCCTATGAACCCTTCCCCCATCCATGATAGAATGTTGATTACACATTATGTTTAATACATTATAAAAAGAACAAGCCAGAAGTTCAAGTTTAAAATGACAGAAGCCCTTATGGTAGATAGTCAAAAATAGATCTTGAAGAAATATCACTAGAACTACTACTTTTGTGGGGGGGGAGGGGAGGTAATGGTTTTGATTTTTGTTTTTTAAAGAGCAATGATTGTACGTAGAATGAAAAAAAATTCGTAATTGAGAAAAGAGCATGCTCAAAGACTGTTAAGTTGTGAAAAACATGACATTATTAAAAAGGAAAGGGGAGAGTGGGTGAATTCTGTCTTTAAGAGGGGGAAGTCTCAACATTCAGTTAGAAAGAAGAGCACAGATTTTCAGATCCAGGAGTCCATGGGTAAGAGTTCGGACTGTGGGCTCAGTACAGCGGCAAATCACTGAAGGGTGTGCAGCAAGGACATCATCTGTGCAATTTCTATGTCAGGATAATCAACTTTGCCTGGAGCCAGAGCTCAGTGGCAAAAACATTTGCCTTACATGCACAAAGATCTGAATTAGATCCCCAGCTCCAAAGAAGAAAAGGGGATGAGGAGAGGAAGGACCAATCCCGTGTATAAATCTGCGTGTGAAGGGTTAGTGTGAAAAACCGGAATGATGCTGAGCGACAGGCAAGTGGTAGCACTGGGTTAGGAGAGAAAGCGATTGCAGTATATTTGAGAAATAAACACCATTTTCTGATGAGCCAGAAATGTGAAAGAATGGGAGGAATCAAGTACTCATCCTTGGATTCTTGGGCTAATCAATAGGATGGAGGGCCATTTGCTGAGATTGAGCTTAATATATAGGCGATGTTCCACATCCATTTTAAACTTGTACTTCTTGTCATGCCTGTGAGATGTTCAGTGGAGATATTAAGTAGAAAGTTAGAGTTATGCTGGAGAAGTAAATGGAGTAGGCATCCTTCAGCATTGCATTGCTATCAGAACCTAAGGAGCAGATGAGGTCCAACCAGAAATCGCCAGAGAAGGGAAATAAACCTTAGAGGACCTGCTGAGGGAAGGAAGCTACTGAAGGAGCATGGGAGCAAAGGAAGCAAAAAGCTCTGTCAGAGGAGTGTGCTCCAAGAAAGAAGAATAGCTGTGTGTACTAGAAAAGGGAAGTTGGGTTGGATTTGTACCTTAGCTTTCATGGAAATAATTTAAGAGAGATGACAGGTGTCCAATTATTTCAACTTAAGAATGAAGTGAAAATAAAGAAGCCAGAATCATGTCAATTGACTGCCCATATTGTGAGTAAGACCTCTAGTCAACTGTGGGTTCTTGATAGTTAAAGTTTTAGGGAATTATAACTTTTGTGACAGATTTTGGACTATGTGGGAGGTCACACCAACTTCTGCTGTTTAAAGATCCAGCTGAATATTTTAAGAATTAACAAAAGCTTTTGCCTATTCATAACCAGTTACATACCACTTTTTTCTCCATAGCAATACAACCACCAAAATTGTACAAATTGTCTTACAAAGAGTAACAGTAATTCTGTCTAAAGACAGCTCAGTGACGAAGTACCTGCCTAGCATAAAAAGTAAGGCCTTGAGTTTGATTCCAGCACCATAGAAAGTAAATCATCACCATGATAATTTGTGTCACTTTGGATCATAGTGACACTTGCTTTTTATTACCCATGCTTGTCATCTAATAGGCATGCCAATTTTAGGACTGATAATAAAAATTAACGGATCTTAAATTCATGAGCCTTGCTTCTTTAATTGCATTGCTTGATGTATGGTGGGCAGTCTTTGCATGCAATTAAAGACATCAAGGAATGCCAAGGTATATAAAACACATCACAGAAACTTCAAAGCTGTGAGAAAGAGGCGAGGTGAGAAGCAGTTTTGTAGAGGTCTACCTCTCTAGCTCAGAATACCAGATAAGAACGACTAGCTGGCTTTCCAAAATAAACAATTTGTTATTTTGCTCAAAAATCCTGTAAGTATAACCAAAGAAGCAATGTCCATGAGTTTAAGAGCGTGTTTAAAAACATTTTTATTGCCTCACAATTAATTGCATTAAATCCAATTAGATGGTAGGCCCATGTAGCACTACCAATGGCAATAACACCTACTTTCTATGCCTCGCAAGTTGACTCATGCACGGGCAAGCAATGTAAACATATCAGGTTTTCCAGCTGCCCTGTGGTGCTCTTGAAAGACTTTAAGACACAAGCTAGCTTCAGAAATGCCAATGCCTGGATCTTGTAATTAAGTAAATATACAGTATTCTTTTGCTGAGGTGAATTAAATAATGGACCTTCATTTAATGTTCATGATCATTTAAAACACATGGCTCAGGGCTTGATAGATGGTTTAGTAGTTAAGAGCACCAGCTGCTCTTCCAGAGAACCCAAGTTCAATTCCCAACACCCACACGGTGCTTTGCAACTGTCTATAAGTCCAGTTTCAGGAGTTCTGATCTCTTCTAGCCTCCTCAAGGCACTAAGCCTGTAAGTGGTACACAGACATACATACTGACAGAATATCTAAAAAGCATAAAATAAAATAAAATTTTAATAAATAAATAACACACAGCTCATTTATACATTTTATAAATGATGAAACTGAGATCTTAAGATTAAGTAGTTTCTCTGGTTATAGTAGACCTGAGCCAAGCCTAAATGGCAATAGTCATATGTACATAATCAGGATCTCCAAATGCTTCTCAATTAGTTTATTATAGTCAGCAATAATCACTCAGAAAGATTAATAAGATTATCTTACTTTACTAGTATTTCCTCCATTTACTTTTTTGTTACTATTAACTGAACTAGCTACTGCTGGTTTTCTAAGAAAAGCGGGCAAAGCTACTATCTTAGTCGCTGTTCTATTGCTGTGAAGAGATACCATGACCATGACAAAGAAAAGCATTTCATTGGGCCTGGCTTGCAGTTTCAGAGGTTTAGTCCATTATCCTCATGGTGGCAGGGGAAGCAGGGTGGCATGCTGGAAGGCATAGGGCCGGAGTGATATCTGACAGTTCTACAACTTGATCCAGACAGCAGAAAGACAGAGACTCTGGGTCTGTCTTCAGAATTTGGAACCAAAGGCCATCCCCAGTGACACATTTCCACCAACAAGACCACACCTCCTCATAGTGCTACTCCCTCATGACCAGGCATTCAAATCTAGGAACTTATGGGAGTCATTGTTACTCAAACCACCACAGCTACCCTAAAGTAACCATTGAACAAGTTGACAATGCTTCTGACACAGACAGACAGGACTGTCCCGATGTACCTAAAGTTTTGAGTCTCTAAGTGCACGTAATCATTTCAAAGAGTTATATTAATGGGAATAAAAACAAAAACAACCTGCAGTTGAGAACTTATGTAAGTCTCATCCCACCTCACAAGTCAAAATAAAGTCCTTCTTCCCTCACC